GGGGGGTGAGAGCCCAGGGTTTGGGCGGCAGGGGGGTGCGGGTGGGGGGGGGGCGGCGAGGAGCCCAGGGCTGGGATGGGGGGGCAGCCAAAAATTTTTTTGCTTGGGGCAGCAAAAAAATCTAGAAGCCAGCAGGGCCGGCTCTAACTCCTCTATTGAATTACATTAAAGGAGAGAAGTGTCTTTTGATCATTACTACAGTACCTTTTATGGGGACTCATTAATACTGTCTAGCACTTGGATTTGTAGATGTCAGAAAAAAAAGTGAAATCTAAGATCCCAAAAACTGAATGGAGTCTTTATGGCCAAGTCCCTACTGCACTGACCATTTTATCAAAGTTATCAAATAATACAGGTACTGTACATACCAGTTTTAACCACCAACTTCTATTGCTTATTTGGTCCATCCTACAATTGGCTGATATTCCTCACGTCTAGACAACAGAATTTTTCAATATTAATGCAGTTTAGCCTCGATTAGAAGAATATCAGTTATCCAAAATTCCATTATCCCAGGCCACATTATCCCTAAATATGTACCTTGTTGAAAATTAAAGGGACTATAACAACATGAGTATAGCATTTCACACCCGAAAGTGTCCCTGGCTCAGCATTCTTACTGTCTTAAGCTTGTCTTTTGTCCAACACCGAATGAACAGGAAAGTAACTAGAATATGAGACAGTTATTCACATTTAAACATTTATAACTCCATCCCCACAATATTTGAGTATGACATTACTTTTAAGTATTTAGGTTTTGTTTGTTGTTTTGTCAGGAAGGTGTTAGTTAATGTCAAAGGAACTACAGAGGTGTTATCTGCCCTGCCACTCAGAGGGAGTGTTTCCACCTGGGCTGAGAGTAGAGGCAGTCCTCGACTTTATGACGTTCAACTTACAACAAACAGCACTTAAATTTCAGAACTGACACCCTAATTCGACTTACGACGTTTCTTTCTACTTTAACGCTCGGTCCCGCAATGGTGTGGATTGCGGTTCCGAGTTATGACGTTTTGACTTGCGACACAATTTTCAGGAATCTATTGTGTCGTAAGTCCGAGGACTGCCTGTACATACTTAGAACTGGAAGATGAAGCAGGTGAAGCCAGCCAGAGAGAAAGCAAAGTGAATCGCTCTTCTCTCTGTCTGAGCAAAATAGGCTGCCTTGGATTTTGACACAGGCCTGCAGAAAAACATTTGTGATCCTTAGGCAGAAACTAAGGCTATGTCTACACTGCACACCTTACAGTGGCACTGTAAGGTATGCCGTGTAACCACTCTTTGGCAGTAGGAGAAAGCTCTCCTGCTGACAAAATAAAACCACCCTCAACCAGGGGGCGCTTTTTGTCAGTAAAACTTTTGTCGGTCAGGGGTGTGTTTTTTTCCACACCCTGACCAACAAAAGTTTTACCAGCGAAAGTGCAGTTTAGACATAGCCTTAGGTGAATTTTAGATTGGACATTGTATCTACTGTTTTTATCACAAGTCCTTGAGAGGACACAGTAGAAAGTAGTCAGACCAGTCTGTGGTAAGTGGACAATTCTACTGTAGGATAGTACCCAGGGAAGTGGTGTTTACTTTGGTAGGAGAGCCAGCCACAGACATGGGGAAAAGCCTTGGAAATCTCTGTGAATCATGAAGGAAACAAAAGGGGCTGCAGAAAAGACACTGGGACAAAATAAAGCCAGTAGCCTTCAAAGAAACAGAGAGGGTTTAGGAGTCAGACTGGACTTCTGCTCTCTTTTCAGATTCCAAAGCTAAACTCACACACCCCTCCCCAGAGAGGCTGAATGAAAATTCCTACCCAGCTGTCACTGTAGTAGCTGCCTTACAGAAGGGATTGGAAAATGAGGCAGTCTGACAGGCTAACAAGGACACTGTTCCAAGAATAGCCTGTGGTCTTGAAAAGCACTGGAACTTGAGTGGTAGGAGACCAAAGGCACAGTAAGACAGGAGTTGAAGGAATGTAGTACAGACAGAAAGAATGATTATGTGAAGACACGCATGACATTGCATAACAATAAAAACTAAGGGCAAGACTACATAAATGTATTGCTTAGGTTGTCAGTTTAAACACAAAAATAGGAAATGCAATCATGAAGGTTCCCATGTCATCTGCATGATTATAGACTCAGTTCACTATTGGGAGAAGCAAATGCTACCCTTGACTTCTGCCAACAAGTTCAATCTTCTGCATTGTCATGTATTTTTACCAAATTTTGAAAGCTTTCCAAAACTGGAAGTTATACATTAAAATCTAGTGGACAGTACAAAGAAAAATAAATTCAATATAACTTTAATAGGGACAAAATATACCACTGTAGTTTCTGATGTATCTTTTATGATACAATACATATTCAAATTTAAAATACCTAGCTTATCCCGCACTTTTCCTCAGTAGATCTCCAAGCACTTTACAAAAGAGGCAAGTATTATTGCCATTTGACTCTTTGGGAAACTGAGGGACAGAGAAGGGAAGTGACTTGCCCACATTCACACAGTAGGCCAGTGGCAGAACTGGAAATAGAACCCAGAAAAACAAGTGTTGCCCATATCACCACTTGCAATTACTTAATTCATCATCAATCATCACCATCATCATCATCATATTAGTCAAAACGAAGGGTTAATGCTTTGTACAGAAATTAACCCTTCAAGAGGTGCAAGTTTACCCATTTTTTCTAAAGTAGGTCAACAATAAAGCTTGGCATCGTCTACAGAATTGGTATCCTGATCCTCGACAAAATATAGTTAATGGACAGTTTTAAAGCAAGGAATGTCAGAATGATCATACTGTAATCAGTATATGAAAATATTTAACTCAAGCCTGAGTAATTTATAGATTTTCATGGAAATATTTGAGCATCAATTCAAGAAAATTCAGAGATCAGGGGTTTTCAAAACATCTGTCTGACAATGTGTACACAGTCCATTTTTAGTAGTCAAGCAACAAGACTCCAAAATTGCACACAACATTAAATCTAATGACTTAAAATGTATATCTAAATATACAATATGTAAAATGTGAGCAATTTAATATTGCCATGGGAAAATTAATTTCTGTATCTCCTTATTCTTTAAATTTACAACCTTAATGCTATGTTAACAGGTTTTTGGAGGGCAGGAAGGTTCCCCTCAAAAACAAAGGAGAGAGAAAATCCTAGCTGCTCCACTTTGGAATGTGTACTAGGACATTTGTACAGCTCCACAGATTTCAAACTACACTACTATCTACATACAAAAACTCAAGTGTAGCACAATAGTTCAGCAATTACGTTGTGTACATGATGAATTAAAAACAGCCAGTTACAAATGACACTTTAATATTTGGCCAATTGAGTTGACGGTGTGCAAAAAATCTGATTTTTGTTCGGAGTGGGATAATGTACATGTATACTTATCAGTTAACTCAATCATCTGAGTAGATTTTCCTTAAACATTAAAAAATGCAAAGAGCAAACATTATAAGCTTCAGCCCCAAGAGGATTTTTTTGAAGTTAAGATTGAAAACATTGGTTTATAATAAAAATGTTTCTCGCCTTACAGAATCAGCTACTGCAAGAGTTGCTCTAGAAAGTAACGCTGAAAAAAGGTTCAATTCTTTAACGGGCCAGTACAAGGTCCCCTTCTTGTCTTAGGTCTCCCTCTCACCTCTCCCCTTGGACGATACCACATGATGTAATATAAGGATTCTTCTTGTAGTGGATTGAATAAGTCCATAATTAATAGATTGCAACACATGAATGAACTAGAGTTTTAATTGTTTCATTCAAAACTACAGTTTTCCAGACCTAAACCCATCATATAAAAGTCAGGATATAACAACACTATTTCCTTCATTGTCATGCTTTTTCTATTTAGAAAAAAAGATGTCTTTAAAAGTGCAAAAAATGCTTTTCGTTTTCCTTACAAAAAGTGTATTTCTTCAAGAAGTCCTGCAGTTCTTGTTACAGGCCACTGCAATATTAAAACAATGCTTCAGAGTGTTCTGTTGATCTGCTCAGGGGAATGGATGATCAATCAGTTTTTCAAATCTGTCCATGATGATGTTGTGGAGGTTTTAATCCTGTAAGCCTCCAAATGAGATGGCCAGTGTATAACACATATGGGTATCCTACAACCAACCATTTAAAAAGCAGTTGAAGTGAGCTGCTCACAGCTGTTAAAACTGAACTTGGGTGTCATCTTTCTAACGTTATTGTATGTGGAGAATTAAAGGCTGTTTGTAGTAACTGTAGTTCTGAGGGAGACACAGTTTGTCTGGGTGGCATTTGGTATCGTACATTTTTCCAGAATTTTGTACTTGCTGAATGAGATTTCTCTGTGAAGTCCCCTTTCCATCTGATGGCCCCATGCTTTTGCTTAATATATTTGATCGATTCTGGCATGTTCGTATAGTCCTTTATTTTATCCAGTTCAATTAGAATAACTTTAATTCCATCACGGATAAGAGCATTGTACACAGCCAGTTGCTGTTCAGAGGTATCTTCTAACACACTATAACAGGATGATTCTGGTACTAACACAATTATCACTCTTCTGCTTTGGTTGATTTTTTCATCAGTGACATTGACCACAGCTGTAAACAAAGAAAAGCAGAGAAAGGTTTTTTTACTCCTGCAAAAGCTTATGCAATGTTTATTACTTTCATTTTGTGGCTGTTTAGTTTTCAGAAACAAAGATGTCTTACTTGTCTCCTTATGCCATATTATTCATTGATATTACACCTGTAGCTGTAAAAAGTTGGCATTGTTTTAAAAAAAAAATAATTCCATACATATCTTTAGATACAGCTACCAAATGTCATTAGTATATTAATACATGTAACAGGATTGCTTGCCCCTGTGCTATAGAGCCTGCGGCTAAGCCAGCCCTGATTACAGGACAAGCCACACCTGAGTTGAATCAAGTGATCCCAGGGTAAAAGGCATCAGGAAGCTGCAGGGAAGGGGCTCCTGCAGAGGGAAGCTATGGGGGGAGGGGTCTCCTGCAGTGGTCCCTGAGGAAGGCACAGTTCCTGAGGGAAGAGGGGCTGTTCCCAGCTTAAGCCGGGGGGGAGATTGTATTGTGATTGTTCTAAGAACTTTGATAATTTAATAAAAAGGCCCAGACCCAAGAAGGGCTGTGATTGAACGAGACTGCACGGAGTTTGCTGAAGAAGCCCTGAAGAAGAGGAAAACCAAGGCAGGACGCTGCAGAGGCACCTGCTGGCCACGAAAGGGTGGTTGGGTGGCAGCTGGCCCTGGTACACTAAGTATGTTGCAACCAGACCATCAGGAATAAGTATCAGTGTGAAAAAAACCCAAATTCCTATGAAAACTAAAGCAAAAATACTCTGAGCCTTAAATTGTGCCCTGCAGACTGCTCAAGGAAGAAAATTTCAAACAGGAGGACCCCCACCCATGAGAAGGCCTGCTACCATGAATAGAAAGTCCTAGGAAATTACAGCAAAAGCATACCAGCCAATCTTAGGCCTGGCCTACACTACAGAGTTTTGTTAACGTACAGCAGCTTATGTCGACCTGACTGTGTAAGTGTCTATACTACAATGTTGCTCCCGCTGATGTAAGTCGCAGGCTATACTGACCTAATAACTCCACCTCCATGAGAGGCATAGCACTTAGGTCGATGTAGTTAGAGTGACACAGTGTCTGTGTAGACACTGCGTTACTTACATCAACTGTTGGCTGTCAACCCTACATGGGGCTCACAGCTGGGGCCCGACAGCCCCCACACTGCCCTACTTAAGTCAGTGCAAGCGCTTCCGCTGAGGATGCGCAACACCGGCAGAAAGAGGGTAGCATGGATAGGAACACCGCTGTAATTACTGCCGTGGCTCTACAGCGACCTAATTTACATCAACTTAACTTTGTAGTGTAGACAAGGCATTAGCCACAGAGACCTAGTGTAGGACAAGCAATATAAATATTCATTCTAGTAAAAATAAGTTATCTGCATTACTAAGAATTTATTCAGAAATATGAATGCCTTCTGCTAAAATTCCATCTTAAGACAAAAGTATGTGTAACCCACACACCACCTGGGTATGGTGTTCTGTTCCCTCTAGTGGCACCAAGACCACTGAGAGAAAGAGATTAATAAGTCTGCTCTACAGCCTTAGCTAAGAGACACTTGGCTTTTAGCTCATGCATTAGAGGCTCACGCATAAAGCTCCAGAGGTCCCAGGTTCGATCCCGCCCACCGACGACCGGGGTCTGTCAGTGTTACACATGTTCATATAAAAAAGCTTGCTTTTACAATACTAAGCACATATTGGTTAGTTTGACAAACTTCCAATAGAAACTTATTTGGTTAAACAATCTGGAATAAATAGACCAATTTTTAAGCTCGGTTTTACTGATTATTTTATAGTGCATAAGTACAGCTGAAAGCTTATACAAGACCATACACAAATAACTCAGTGTTATCCCCACCTTCTCCTCAGGAAAGCAATTAGTGAAAGATCCTTCCTCAATTTCAGTACCAAATGTTAGAATCTTAGTTTCAGCAATATACGGCAAGAAGAAACATTCCCTCAGGATGTCCCTTTTTAAAGGCACTTGGAGAACATATTGTTCTGCTCATATTTGGATTAGAGTCAGGCATTTTCTCATCTCTTACTGATCTTTTCTGATACTGGACACAAAAGAGTTACTTTGTAATAATTTTTATTTTAAGTTGCACCATTTTGCCACACTTAAGCGCCCTCTCCCCCCTCATTGCCAGATGAGTCATTCAGATTTTATTTACTCTTCATGGGCAGTTGTCAGCGTGGAAAAGTAAAGAGGTACATTTGCCGGAGGTGAAATGACACTCTAGAGTGACTGCCATGCCAATAGCACTCCCCCCCTTCACAAGTGCTGCTCTGCCATTGTCCCTGACCCTGTGGACAAGGAAGGCTGTTACCAGTCCTCTCCCTCTGATCAGCACACCAGTCCCAGCTGCTTAAACTACCTACATATTAAAGGAAGAACTAGGAGCTGATCGGAGGAAAAGCTGAGGCAGACAGGGCTTTATGGGAGCCCCAAGCACAGTACTTCCACATTACCCATGGGATTACACAGGAGGGAGGAATAGGGATAAAAAAAAAAAAAAAAAAAAGAGACTGCTCACGCCAGGGGTCATCAACCTTTGGTACGCGGCTCACCAGGGTAAGCACCCTGGCGGGCCAGACCGGTTTGTTTACCTGCCGTGTCCGCAGGTTCGGCCGATCGCAGCTCCCACTGGCCGCAGTTCGCAGTCCCAGGCCAATGGGGGCTGCAGGAAGCGGCGCAGGCCGAGAGACGTGCTGGCTGCCGCTTTCCGCCGCCCCCATTGGCCTGGGACGGGGAACCGCAGCCAGTGGGAGCCGCGATCGGCCAAACCTGCGGACACGGCAGGTAAACAAACCAGCCTGGCCCGCCAGGGTGCTTACCCTAGCGAGCTGCGTGCCAAAGGTTGCCGACCCCTGGCCTACGCTAACCAGGATGCCTGGGGCACACAAGTTTGCTTATGTCTATTTTGAGGATCATTGCAGCTCACCTTTGAGACTGGTGAGAGAAAATATAGAAATTCCGATTAAAAAAAAATATATCTTACCTTGTCCTGGTAAGTCATCCCTTCCAAATATAAAGAGATTGTATCCACACTGTCTCTCTAAGACCTCAGGTAATATCTTTAGTGCAAAGATATCTGGTGAGTAGAGGCAGCTTACTCTGTTTTTTGGATACAGCACATATGCATCATAGATCTTCCCATCTGAAACTAAACAAAGTGAGCAAAATGATTAAGACCGAAAAGCATATTTAATAAAAAAGTAAACTATAGTTTTCCCCACACAACACTGCCATGGGCACAAATCCTGTAATTAAAGTTACTGTAGTGTGAGTAATTATACTTATGGAAGTAATAGTTTTACACGTAGATCTTTAGACTTTAATATTCAAAGGTGTAAAATTGATTACCTTTGAACAGTCTTTGCTCTACACTAAATAAAAAAAAAGCAAAATCACCAAATTATCTGTTTCAAGTACATATTATTTAAGTTCCAAGTTACTCATAACTGGTGTTTACTGCTTATGACATGAATTTAAAAAAAAAACAAAAAAAACCCCGCAATATTCAGAACGATCAGGAGTCTTATGATTTATCTGGAACAAAATTTCCAGTAAGGCCTGATTTAATAAACTTTATACAACTCCAGTAATTACCTCAATGCAGTTATTAAATACATTTTACTTCTCTCGTGGTACATCTCCTCATGATTGATCTAAATTCCAGAATTCTGCTCTCTCGTGTATGGGATTCCCATTGCTAATGCAAATTCCAGGAACATAAGAGAGAGCCGAATATCAGACCAAAATACAGATCTGAGAAATATTGTCTTTAAAAAACAGGTAGATGCTTAGGATTTTTCTCTGCGCTCTTTTACAAAAATGCACTTTCATATGATTTATTAGTACTCTTCCAAACAGTAATTAAAGAAAAGGTAGTTCTATAGCTTGAGTAGATGTTACAAGTGGAGAATACTTCTGTCAGCCATTTTAAGGCAAACAGCAATACAGTACATCAGCCAGTCAGCACACTGCTATCAAATATACAAGTCAATCTGCCATTTTAGAAATCTGAAGCACTTTACATAATCTAAATCAGAAAATATGCTAATAGTTTTCATGATACATCTCAAAAATGTAAGGGCGCCCACTTTGGGGGAAACTCCAAATGGAATCACTCTCACTCCAGGATCGTTTCCTGAATGCATTCCCAATCAGATTTTAAATTCTGTAATCTTTTTTCTTAAGAAAACACATACCTTCTTTACTCAGAAAAGGATGGCAGGAGTTCCGATACCAAAGCACAATGTCAATCTTGAGTAGCTTGTAGACAAACACAGCAACAACTATTACAAATACCAGTGAAACAAGTCCTCCAATCAAGTAACCCTGAATGTTTGGAGCTGTATTAGCAAAGGGGGGGGGGAGGGGGAGAGAGATACATTGTAACTGCAGCATGTGTCAAACAAGAAACATTCAAAACATTTTCTACAATCCAACAATTTGGTCTCTTAAAACCAGCTACTTATTTAAGGATTCAAACCATGCAATCAGCAAACAAGAAAAGACTAAAGATTCTTCCTGTATGGTTTCAACATAAAACTGTTATTGGCCAGCCTGCTAGTAAACCCAGAATGCATGCCGTCCTGTCTCAACAGAGGACATCTTAAAGTCAAAAATGTTACTGCACAAATGCAAAGAAATTGTATTTTCCAACCAGAAAAGAAATGCTGATGTTTATTCTGACAAGACAACTGACTCAGAATTCTCATACAAGTTTGATTTAGGACTTGTCAACACAAATATTCATTTTGCAGCAAGCTGGGGTGTGAATCTACCCCACAGTAGCTGGTTGCAGATTAACTGTGTAGTTCTCTTTGAAATGGAACTAGCTCAATGCCCCTCTAACCAACTGTGAATGTGCATCAGGAGGGTGCACCTGGACAGTTAATCCATTGTACGCTAATGAGAGGTAGATTCACAGCCTAACTTGTCATGAACTAAATCTTTGTGTAGACAAGCCCTTGTTAAAAAGTGGCACACGGTTGTAGAAAAAAGTAAGTAGTAAGACAATCCCACAAGAAGACAAAGAAAAGTGAACACATAAATGTGTCCTCTTGTTACACCATATGCTCTCTGGAACTGGAGCAGGAATGGTCAGGTACTAAATGACTGTCCTGCGTCTAGCACAGTAGGTGACCAATCTGATCGAGGTTTCTAAGTGCTAATGCTGTATAAGCAGCAACAACAGAAAATTCCCAATTACTAGAGTGGGAGTTGTTAGCACTCAGCACTGCAGAAAATAGCCCATGTTTATTTAAGTGACTAAATATGGTTTTAAGAGCACAACTTTAGGCACCCAAACTTTGATAGTTTGGGATATTAACAGAATGAGACTAGCCACAAGTAGTAATTTTGTAGTATGAACTATATTGTAGGAGGATTGTATTGTCTCACTTTAGTGCAGTCTGTGTTCTGTGGTTACATTAATGGAGGATTATGATTCACAGTCAGAAAAAGTCCCAAAGAGATGCAATATCTCTGTAGGCTCTATTCTCATGAATGAAGTTGCATCCATTGTGGAACGCAAGTTTGCCTTTTGTACTCAAAAACACTACTTTAAAGCAAAGCCCAAAGCAGTTTCTAAGTCTTATAGGCTTCCCCACTCTGCTATACATTTATAAACTCTAGCTCCCTCTTCCACCCTCATTTATGGCACACTAAGCCAGTGGTTCTCAACCAGGGGTTCGCGGAGTTCTTCCAGGGGGTACATCAGCTCATCTAGATATTGTCTACTTTTACAACAGGCTACATGAAAAACACCAGTGAAGTCAATACCAACTAAAATTTTATACAATGACTTGTTTACACTGCTCTATATACTACATCAGTGTGCCTCAACCTGACAATCATGATTTATTTTATAATTATATGGTAAAAATGAGAAAGTATAAGCAATTTTTCAGTAATAGCGTGCTGTGACACCTATGTATTTTTAGGTCTGATTTTGTAAGCAAGTAGTTTTTAAGAGACTTTGGTACACAAGACAAATCAGACTTCTGAAAGGGGTACAGTAGTCTGGAAAGGTTGAGAACCACTGGACTACGCTATTGGTTGTCATTACAGTCACCTTGACAAAAAGGGTTTATGAGAAGTGTACTAGCAAGAGACAGAGCACTATGGTACTCTATGCCTCTCCTTTTGAACGATTATATAGCACCTGTCTTCCAAACATTAACCAATTAATCCTCACAACTTCTCTCTGTGGTAAACAAGATCTTAAAATAAAAATAACCTCCAAAACAGATTTCTCTGGAACTAGGCTTAAATGTAAGCCATTGTTTATTAACCTTGTAGTAGACATTGGCTGAATTATCAAGGTACATCTTGCAATAGGCAGTAGTTTTGATTTCAATATCTTATTACTTTTCAGGTGAGGTTTGAGAATTAATTCTATTTTAAAGTAGACTGGCCTCAAATTCTGCTTAAATAAACTTGAGAGACTTAATTTGAACTTTTCTCTCTTATATTAAAGTTACCTGAACTCCCATATATGCACATTTGTACTCATTTCAGCTTTTCAACTTTGAAAACTAGAAACAATTGTTAAATTTGTCAGCACATAAACTGCTTATCTGTTGAGTCACAATGAATTTGGCAATAGGGACCTTTTAATGTTTCACACATTCCACATTAAACAAAGCAAAATCTATACTCTGGGGCAAAAAACAGAGCATACAAAGGGGGAGTGGCGTGTGCATGGAATTCCTGCCTATCTGTTATGGAGTGATGAGGATAGAGGGAATCAAAGGAGCAGCAGCAGCCACTGCTACATATATCCTCTCGTCCTCCTCCACACCTCAACAAAATAGAGTAGAGATGCTGGGGTCGTGGAGTTACTTCAGAAGTGAAGCAGTAACCACAAAATTTGTGCCCAAATGCTCCTTTCTGGTTCTTCAGCCTTCAGTTAACAACAAGGTGAACAGAAGCATTATTGAAATAAGGCAATATGGAGTATAAAAGAAAGTAATTAACTGAGAAAATACTGTTTTAAAGGGAAAAAGGTGAATTTGAAAGAAGCTATTCAGGAGGAAGAGGGGGAATATGTTTTAAACAAATGTAAGAATTTAGGGGTAAATGCAACAAGGGCAGCTACAACTTAAGAGGAAGGAAGACAGCAAGAGTGCTAACTTGTAGTAGTTATCTACCATGTCTGGAATAAGCTAATTCTAAGTTTGTTTTAATTTATTTTTTTACTGAAAAGTATTTCATTGGTATTTTCTGAAAGGCTGTTGAATTGAAATATAGAGTCCAAAGTTTATTAAAACTGATAGTTTAATTAAATTTGGTAATAGAACGAACGTAGAATACTTTAGTTAACATACGTATACAATTGTAACATCCCCGTCATGTTCTGTTTAATGCAGAGCTGCTTTACACAGTTATAGCCAATTATGGCTGATATTAGCTGAATCTTTATTAAACGGTTTCCTTTTCATTACATGATCAGGTTAGAATTGTAGTTATAAACTTATTTAATATCTTACCTGGCTGTTTTAGTACAATGTATGCTACAGCTTCGCCATAGGGATGTAAAACACAACAGAAAAACTTGTGAGAATAATCCTTACTTTTCACTTTTGAAATGTTGAATCTTGCTCCAATTATAAAACCACCTCCCAGGGAAGGTTTTCTATCATAACAATAAACAAAAACAAACAAAAAAACACACACATCAGCGGATAGAGAAATTATTATACATTAGAATTTCAATATGGACTAGGCAGACTTAACTGCAAATACAAGAAAGTTCACTTTTACCCTCAAGAGTGTATTAAGCAAGTAGAGTTCAGGTCACTTGTGAGCAAACATTGATATTGGGAGTCAGGACTTTATAGTACAAAGCCTAGTGTCAGCAAAATGAGGTACCAGAGCCAAGGGTTTGAAACTACACAGATGGAACAATGACATTACACTGGTTGAATTACTGCCCATATTAGAACATTTAAACTTCTGTAGGCATTGCTGTCAGGTACTGTGCCTCCATATTTTCAGTTCTGATACTTGTTGCTGGCCACTTTAAAAAATAGCTATTTTCCATACCAACTGAGCTTTGGTTAAAACTGATTTAGCTATTATGGCTTTATAATTTAAAAGATAGATGAGGACAGGTTGCAAACTGATTTAGTTGTATTGGCATCCCATAAGAACAGTTACATACCTTATAGTAGCCGTAGGTCTTCGAGATGTTCTGTCCATATGGATTCCACACTTGGTGTTCATGCACCCCATACGTGTAAGATCAGATTCTTTTGACCAGCAGTGTCCACTGGGGCCAGGCCTGTCCCCGAAGCATCCTCTCAACTCCCTCATCCAAGAGCATAAAGTGCGGAGCAGGCCCTCAGTGCCTTCACCAATACAGAATCCCAGAGGAGTAGGATTCCATATTAGGGAAGGAGGACAGGTCATGGGATCCTTGTGAACAAAACATCTTGAACCACAGTACTGTACTGTAAGATAATAGCCAGTTTGTGTCTACATGGTAGGTGCTAGGAGCCCTAGTTAAAAGATTGTAGCACAGCCTTACCAAAATGAAGCTTCTTACAAGACACAGCTTTAGTAAAGTGTGTACCAAACTGTACATAGCTGCCCTATAAATTTCAGAAATAGATCACCTGAGCTCTAGTGGAATGAGCTCAGCTGTGCCTAGATAGCTCTAAGCTGGCTGGGCTAACTCATAAGGTGCTCTTGCATAGCCAGAAACCCATTTTGATAACTTCTGTGAGGTTACTGCCTGATCCCTAAACATATCCACGACGGCCATGAACAGTCTGGGTGTTCCTGAATGGTTTTATCCTGTTCAGAGAATATAAAGCTCTTACTGCATAAAGTGTGTGAAGCTTACTAGTAATGCCAAACCATACTCCAAGACTTTCACTGCACTGCAGCAGTGTCCACACAGGATGTTACTGTGCTGTAAGCTGGTGTGCTGATGGCTCACACCTTGGCTTGTGACACAGTAATTTGCCATGTAGACAATTGGGCTACTGGCTGCCAAGCTTGAGACAAATCTAATGTTTACTCGTTTGTCTCAGTTCCAAGAATCTTGAGAGGGAAACTTAATGTCTCATTTTTGGAGTGATGTTCGTTTCTCAAGGAAATCAACATGTGCATCTAAGTAGACAACTGGGACATCTCAGCATTGCAGCTTGGAGTTGGAATCATGGCTCATGGGGTGCACTAGCTAAGGAGGACTGAGACTTAGCTACTTCCTTCTTCTCCATATCTGAGATGGCTTTTGTGGAGTACTCTAGAAGAAAAAACTTTAGTGGCCAACCCTAGTGTGACACTCTACCTCGGGGGAGCACCCTTGAAGCCCCATATTCATTGTTTGTATATAATTGAGGTATTTCATAATAAGCATGCCATGTGAGGTATCATGGGAAAGATTATGATCTGCTGAAACCCACTGTTCCATCTAAATATGTACAGTAACTCCTCGCTTAATGTAGTTATGTTCCTGAAAAATGCTACTTTAAGCAAAACGATGTTAAGTGAATCCAATTTCCTCATAAGAATTAATGTAAATTGGGGGGGGAGGGGGTGCTTAGGTTCCAGGGAAAGAAAGAAATTGTGTGTGTGTGTGTGTGTGTGTGTGTATATATTTATATATATATATATATATATATATATACACACACATACACACACACATACACGTGCGTGCGCACACACACACACACACACACACACACACACTATAAGTTTTAAACAAACAATTTAATACTGTACACAGCAATGATGATTGTGAAGCTTGGTTGAGATGGTGGAGTCAGAGGGTGGGATATTTCCCAGGGAATGCCTTACTGCTAAATGATGAACTAGCACTCAACTGAGCCCTCAAGGGTTAACACATTGTTGTTAATGTAGCCTCTACAAGGCAGCACAAATGGAGGGAGGAGACACAGCATGGCAGTGGCTGCAAACATTGAAACTGAAAGGGGTGATGAATCCACGCTATCCCAATGGAGCGCACCACTCCCTCCACTTTCCAAAGTGCTGGGTAGTGCATGTGTGCGTGGCTAGGTCTACACTACGGGGGGGGGGTCGACCAAAGATACGCAACTTCAGCTACGTGAATAGCGTAGCTGAAGTTGCGTATTTTAGGTCGACTTACCTGGCTGTGAGGACGGCGGCGAGTCGGCCGCTGCCGCTCCCCCGTTGACTCTGCTTCCGCCTCTCGCCGCGGTGGATTTCCAGAGTCGACAGCAGACCCATCGGGGATCAATTTTATCGTGTCTACACTAGACGTGATAAATCGATCCCTGATAAATCGATCGCTACTTGCCGATCCGGCGGGTACTGAAGACGTGCCCTGTGAGTCAACAACCATCAACAGCCATTGTCCTGCCAGGGAGTTACAATCCAATGACTAACTTGCACAAGGCCACATCAGGGGAATTGCTCAATCTTGCCTGGGGACTCAGCAATGCCCACCAGACATGCCTGAACTTGTGTTTTCCAAGCACATGGGACTAAGGGTATAAAACAGACACAGTGACCCCATGCTTGGCCTTTTCTTCTCCCCCCACCTACACTGCAAGCAACATGGACACTCAGAAGATTGAAGACTCCAACAGAGGAGACTGGCCCAGGTTTCAAGGGTGAAACCTGTGTACTCTGAACTGCAATATCCAGTGGCATGAGAAAAACTGCTTAATCTAGATGTTACCCAGTCTAATAGGGTTGAGAATGTAGGCTGCGTGCTTACATTTTATTTTATTTTGGTAACCACTCTGACTATCTGCCTAATCACTTAAAATCTCTTTTGTAATCAATACACTTGTTTTACTGTTTACCTTTATCAGTGAGTTTGCCTGAAGCGCGTGGTAAATCTAATCAGATTTACAAAAGCTGGTGTATGTATATCCACTTTCCATTGATGGAGTGGTGAACCAATTAATAAACTTGCATTTCTCAAGAAAGGATCTTGAGCAGTGCAAGACAGTATACTCCTGAGGTACAAGGCTGGGAGATGGGGGGATTTGGCTGGTGCCTTTCTCTGTGTGATTCATGAGTGGCTCTGGGAGCATTCATGCAATCTAGCTGGGTATGTGGCTCCACATGCAGTTGTGCTGAGTGATAACAGCACCTGGAGGGGTTTGCTGCTTATCACTAGCAAAGAATTGTGAGAGACAGCCCAGGCTGGAGAGTTAAGTGGGCAAATTTGTCCCACAGTCCCAGACTGAACCCCGGGGATCCTGTCACACCTAGCCTTCGGAGTCTGCTTGGACATAGAGCAGCAGGTGGAGTACCAATAAGATACATGACCTTCACCTAAATCAAAAAGGCACCTAAGAGGGCCCATCATTGAATGGCGTAGAAGCATCACAGGAGAAGTATGTCAAACCCTGGAGATTTAGCTTCTGCCATAGTGGCTCAAGTCCTGGTAAGAGAGAGAGGGGGTTCTGCACCTAACCATCTATCTACTGAAAAGAATTTTATTAAGCCAACAGGGACATTAACAGGACTAGCTTAACACCTATGTTAACTAATCACTAACACTAACTACAACAGAGTTGCAGAGAAGCAGCCTGACTCTGCACAAGTTCCATCTTGCTGCCATCGATGGCAAAAAGGAATTGAGGGATGGTTGGCCCCCTCCCACGGGTGAGGTAATGGAGCACGAGGATACCTAGGGAACAGGCGTAGTCCCAACTGAATTTGATTTGGCCAAATGAATCCAATTTTGTGTGCCTGCACACCAAAAGCTGGATCCATGTGAACAATCACTTGAAAAAGAATACCTGCTTCTACCCTCCCCCAAAATCATTCTAGGTGGTTCATTCATCCAGCATTTTTGGCTTCTCAGTGGACAGGCATTCTGTCATGGTCCTGATGGATAGCGGGGAGGCATGTTGGGAAGACTCCTGCGAGTTAACAGGATCAGCAACAGTTGGCAAATCATTCAAGCTTACACAAAGCTGACTACAGAGTCCGTTTATAGAAAGAAAAAAAAGTCAGCTAATATAGCCCACGCTAACAGTGTGGCTCTGGCCTCTAGTGGTTAGCCCATGTTCAGAGGTTTCTGAATTTGCTGCTGCTGTTGAACTATGGAAACTGGTTCTTCAGTTTAAGGAGTAAAGCTAATACTTTTAGATCACAGAGGTCTCTGGTTCAATCCCAGCTATCACCTCCTCCAGAGGCACAGTGTTATACGTGCAGCAGGAAAGTACATCTGGAGCTCATCCTTCAAAAGGGTGTAAGGAGGAAGCAATAAAGAGAATCAGGTAAGACAGGATTAGGACAAGAAATAGCAGAGAAATGATCAGGCCAAAATTTTCATACTGTGGTGCCTGAAATTAGACACCTAATATGTTTTTTGGGCGATTTCCGGGTATCCAACAGCTCCAGCTGACTTCAAGGGAAACTGCAGGTATTCAACACCTCTGAAAATTAGCTCACCTAGAATCTATATTTTTTAGGCACCCAAGTTGAAAATTTTTGCTTAGGGCAAAAGTAACAATAATTAATTTGCTCCTGATGCCTCAGTTATCAGTTATGTGGGACACTAAGGTTTAGAGGTAAGCAGGGAATGTTAGTTATTTTTGTAGCCCGTGAGACTATAATACAACAAAAATCACTCACCCTATAAATCTAAAGGAGTTTGGGGATAAAGTAAAACTAAAATTCAAGACAATTTTCCTCAGGAGCAGGTTGACATTTAATATTCTCAAAAATATAGTTAAATAAATAAAACAAAAAAAAGTGAATGTGCCAATCTTCTCTAAACAAGAAAATGTTTTATGAAGTTTCAACTTGATTCAGTGGCACATGTTATGCAATTTGTGAACCTGGCCACCGCATACATGCAGGCAGAGCAGCTGAGCTTAAAAGAACTCAAGGAAACACCTATTGTATATATAATGAATTGTTCCCATACTGGCAAACTCTTTTTCCACTGGGGCTGGTTGAGATCAGCCTTTAATCTATGGATGAAGAGTGCTAAGTATTATCATGCTATTATGAATTTCCAAAATCTAGATAAGATGGCCTCAATACATTACTTACAGAAAAAATAGATAATTATTAAATGCATGGCAAATTTGTTGAACATGAAGTACTTTCAGTAGTCTGTTGGCATTCATTAGGGAAGGATGGAAAAAGTGGGTTTGTTTAGTCTGGAGAAGAGAAGACTGAGACGGGACACGATAACAGTTTTCAAATACATAAAAGGTTGTTACAAGGAGGAAGGAGAAAAATTGTTCTCATTAACCTCTGAGGACAGGACAAGACAAAAAGCAATGGGCTTAAATTGCAGCAAGGGAGGTTTAGGTTGGACATTAGGAAAACTTCCGAACTGTCAGGGTGGTTAAGCACTGGAATAAATTGCCTAGGGAGATTGTGGAATCTACATCACTGGAGATTTTTAAGAGCAAGTTAGATAAACACTGTCAGGGATGGTCTAGATAATACTTAGTCCTGCCATAAGTACAGCAGACTGGACTAGATGAGCTCTTGAGGTCCCTTCCAGTTCTACAATTCTATGATTAGTCACTATTTTGTCCAACAGTTACTTTTATGGATGATTCACACCAAATAATCTTAAAATATTTTAGCATTCAATCCACATGCAATTTGATTTGTAAGAATACTTACTCATAGAATTGTTCCTCGTAGGTATCATCAAATCTATTAACATCCTCACCATTGACTTGCCAGTATGGATTCAAAGTACCTATGCTACTGGATATATTACAGTCCATGATGACATGAGCTCCTACAAAACATTTAAATGTGACAATTAAAAATTGTGTACCATAAGCAGGCAGACTCATATGATTATGTAAATAGTTTGGGAAAGGACAGTTGCTTAGATTACAGCAACTGTGGTTCTTAGAGGTGTGTTGTCCATGTGTGTTGCACTTTTGGTGTGCACACTCCCACATGCTTGAGACCAGAGTCTTTTGGCCAGCAATGTCCATTGGGGCTCCGCATGCATTCTGAGTGGCCTCGTGCTCCTCTACTGCAGGGCCAGCTCCAGCATTTCTGCCGCCCCAAGCAAAAAAAAAAAAGCCGTGATCGGCGGCGGGAGTTCAGTGGCAGGTCCTTCGCTCCTACAGGGAGTGAGGGACCTGCCGCCCCCGAATTGCCGCACATGCCTCCCCTCTCCCTTGGCCACCCCAAGCACCTGCTTGTTAAGCTGGTGCCTGGAGCCGGCCCTGCTCTACTGAGGGCATAAAGCGGGTGGTGTGGGGCCAACTGCCTCTCAATTCCTTTGCCATTGTAGAATCCAGATATTACAAAACTCCACAGGAGTAGGAAAGAGGGCAGGTCATGGAATACATATGGACAATGCATCTCAAAGAACTCTAGTTATTATAAGGTAAGTAATTCTTTTTTGAGTGCTTGTCCGTATGTATTCCACTCTTGGTGACTCTCAAGCAGTAACCTGATGGAAACCGGTAGGTGGCTCAGAGTCTGCTTAAACAAAGATTGCAGTACAGCTCTGCCAAAAGCAGCATCAGACCTCAATGCTTCTACCAAGAAATACTGTTTGGTAAAAGTATGGCTTGAACTCCAAGTAGCTGAAATGGATACGCTTAGCACAGAAGCCGCAGAAGCTGTCCAAGTGCAGTGGAGCAAGCTCTAATCTGAGTTGAGAATCTAAACTAGCTAATTCATAACAGCTGTTACCACATCACAAAACCCACTTGGAAAGCCTCTGGGCTGATAGAACTTTTCTCTCAGAAAATATAGAAATGTAAAAAATAAGTAGTCATGGGGAAATCCTGAAGGATTTGGTTTTTTGTAAGTAAAAGGTTCCTGCAAACCTCTAAGGTGTGCAGCCTAGCCTCCCCTGGATTAGTATGTCATTTCTAACTGAACATTGGCATATTAATCAGTTGGTTTAAAGGAAAGCCCATAAATCCTTTCAGTAAGAACTTGGGATAAGGTTTAAGTGAAAATTTATCCCTACGGTGTCTGCCATATATGTTTACCAGATTCCAGGAGAGGATCATTAATGGGAAGTGCCAACTGACCAGGCATAGAGAATCTCCAAACATTTAGGAAGATTTTGTACCTCTTCCACAAGTTTCTTGAGAGACTCAGTTATATGTTTCAGAGTAGCAGCCGTGTTAGTCCGTATCCGCAAAAAGAACAGGAGTACTTGTGGCACCTTAGAGACTAATAAATTTATCTGAGCATAAGCTTTCGTGGGCTACAGCCCACTTCATCGGATGCATGCAGTGGAAAATACAGTAGGAAGATATATATATACACACACACAGAACAATGGGTGTTATCATACACATTATAACGAGAGTGATCAGTTACGGTGAGCTATTATCAGGAGGAGAGAAAAAGAACTGTTTGTAGTGGTAATGAAAATGGCCCATTTCCAGCAATTGACAAGAAGATGTGAGGAACTGGGGGGGGTGGGAGGGGAAATAAGCATGGGGAAATAGTTTTACTTTGTGTAATGGCCCATCCACTCCCAGTCTTTATTCAAGCCTAATTTAATGGTGTCCAATTTGCAAATTAATTCCAATTCAGCAGTCTCTCGTTGGAGTCTGTTTTTGAAGTTTTTTTGTTGTAATATTGCGACTTTTAGGTCTGTAATCGAGTGGCCAGGGAGATTGAAGTGTTCTCCAACTGGTTTTTTGAATGTTATAATTCTTGACGTCTGATTTGTGTCTATTTATTCTTTTACGTAGAGACTGTCCGGTTTGGCCAATGTACATGGCAGAGGGGCATTGCTGGCACATGATGGCATATATCACATTGGTAGATGTGCAGGTGAACGAGCCTCTGATAGTGTGGCTGATGCGATTAGGTCCTATGATGGTGTCCCCTGGATGGTGTCATCATCTGGACCCATGGAAAAGAAGCCCTTGAGGAATTCCATCATGATTTCAACAATTTCCACCCCACCATCAACCTCAGCCTGGACCAGTCCACACAAGAGATCCACTTCCTGGACACTACAGTACTAATAAACGATGGCCACATAAACACCACCCTATACCGGAAACCTACTGACTGCTATACTTACCTACATGCCTCCAGCTTCCATCCAGGACACACCATACGATCCATTGTCTACAGCCAAGCTCTAAGATACAACCGCATTTGCTCCAATCCCTCAGACAGAGACAAACACCTACAAGATCTCTATCAAGCGTTCTTACAACTACAATATCCACCTGCTGAAGTGAAGAAACAGATTGACAAAGCCAGAAGAGTACCCAGAAGTCACCTACTACAGGACAGGCCCAACAAAGAAAGTAACAGAATGCCACTAGCCATCACCTTCATGATGCGCTGGAGAGGTTTTAGTTGGGGGCTGAAGGATCTACAACCTATCCTGAAGGAAAATCACAGATCTTGGGAGGCAGGCCAGTCCTTGCTTACAGACAGCCCCCAAACCTGAAGCAAATACTCACCAGCAACCACACAACAAAAAACACTAACCCAGGAACCTATCCTTGCAACAAAGCCCGCTGCCAACTCTGTCCACATATCATAGGTCTAGAGGGGACTACCACCTCATTCAAGGTCAGGAGTGTATAGCCTCAGAAATTGCCTGATCCTCAGCTTGAGGGTGCTCCTCCTCAGAAAACTCCTCACGGGGCTCTAATTCATAGGTTGCAAGCCTAGGTGCCTGAGAACATATAGGGGAGGAGGTTCTCATTCTAGAAGGTGGTGCAGAGGTGTGATGTCTTGGGAGGTGAATACCCCAGGGGTTCCAACAGAACCATGTTGGAACACTGTATGGAAATGAGGCAGGGGGCCCAAAGAAGGGTACCAGGACATATGCCTACTCCTACATCCCATTTGAGACCTTCACATAACTAAAACCCCCTTGATTCCTTCTCAGAGTCACAATACCATAAGAAGGGACCCTTGGAGAACAACTATGGGAACCCCCCAACGTGTAGTGAGTCAGAAGATGAAAAGAAGCACTCCAGATTATTTTTTTGGTTGCAGGAGGTGGGGGGCGTGTAGCAGGGGGAGATGGAGGGGAGCATTCCTGGAGTCAGAATGCTAAATTTGCACATTAATTCTAGTAATTCTAGTAAATCAGCACTGGGGAGATAATCTGGGCCAACTAGGCCTTGAGCATCAGTAGAGACCAGTGGAGATTCTGATTCCTCTAAGAGCTGGAGATCCCTCAGTACTACATACTTTCTTAGTATCGACAGGGACGGTGCTACAAACCTGAGTGCGGGAGAAGAGAGTATCAGGGTTGATGATATGGACATGCCCAGTACTGACACACTTGGTGCTGAAGAGAGTAGCATCAAGAAGAGCAGTACCAATGAGGCGGATACCATCACAGACAGCATCGAAGCACTCAATGTTGAGGTAACTCCCAATGCTATGGCCTCTGTACTGGAGGCAGTTAACTTTGATTCCCAAGATCGTGCCAGAGCCCTAGTGCCACGCTCCCTTAGAGCTGCTGTGGTTCCCAGATTGGGCAATGGAGTTTCTTTAGAATGGGAGCAGTGAGGTGACTTAAGACTTCTTACTGAGAATGCCCGTTGGGGAATCGGCCCTACTTTTCCCACAGAAGTGATGCTCCTTTTTGTCTGATGACTTTGTTTAAAGTCCTAACTGAATCCAAAGCTAGAATGGTCTTAGAAGATGGCATGTGGGAGCTAGTGGATCCAAACTCACAGGAGCACTTCTGGAATGTCAGGGGACAGAGGGAGGAGGAGAGGAGGTCTGCCCTGCCCAGACTGAGACTGCTCCATGCAGCCAGTCTCAACAAATATTTCAAGGCATGCCTCCCCAAACCTTTAAGGTCCTTTTAGAAAAGAAAAGGACTTGCACACCAAGCATATGTCAGGGATATGGGCTTCCCCATATAGAAGAGATGAGGTATCTGGTACGTCTGTCATCAATTGCAATTGCTGCCTTACAGGAGGGGCAACAGATTCACATAGATTCCGAGGCTGTGTGATTTAGGAAGGGGGCATGACTAAATCCTGGGGCCAGAAATAAAATTTCAATCTGAGAAAAAACAAAATATGGAAGGAAAAACTTCCAAATACACCTCTACCCCGATATAATGCTGTCCTCGGGAGCCAAAAAAATCTTACCGCGTTATAGGTGAAACCGCGTTATATCGAACTTGCTTTGATCCGCCAGAGTGTACAGCCCCCGGAGCACTGCTTTACTGCGTCATATCCGAATTCATGTTATATTGGGCCGCGTTATATCGGGGTAGAGGTGTACCAATAAAAAATATTTAAAGCAGTGGTTCTCACCAGAGATACATGTACCACTGGGGGTACGCAGAGGTCTTCTGGGGGTACATCAAGTCATCTAGATATTTGCCTAGTTTTACAACAGGCTACATAAAAAGCATTAGTGAGGTCAGTACAAACTAAAAACATACAGACAGTGACTTGTTTGTACTGCTCTATATACTATACACTGAAATGTAAGTGCAATATTTAATATTCCAATTGATTTTTATGATATGGTAAAAATGAGAAAGTACACCATTTTTCAGTAACAGTGTGCTGTGACACTTCGTATTTTTATGTCTGATTTTGTAAGCAAGTCGTTTTTAAGTGAGGTGGAACTTGGGGGTACGCAAGACAAACCAGACTTCTGAAAGGGGTGCAGTAGTCTGGAAAGGTTGAGAGCCACTGATCTAAAGTTTGCCAGTAGGCAACTACCCAAACCATCTATAAATAACACTAATATACATACAATTAACTATAGCAATTACGAAAAAAGAGGCTTCAAGATGTAGACACCAAAGAGCTCCATCTCACAGCCACAGGTGGTGAGAAGGAACTGAGTGGCAGTTGGGCCCAGTCCACCCTCTATGCCCTCAGTACAGTAGCACAAGGACACTAAGAGTATGTCTACACAGCAAAGAAAAACACGCAGCTGGCCTGTGCCAGCCGACTCAGGCATGCGGGGCTCGGGCTGCGGGGCTGTTTCACTGCTGTGCAGACTTCTAGGCCCGGGATGAAGCCTGAGCTCTGGGACCCTCCCACCTCGCAGGGTCCTAGAGCCCAGGCTCCAGCCCAAGCCCAAATGTCTACACAGCAGTGAAGCAGCCCCGCAGTCCAAGCTCGCAGCCCAAGGCAGCTGACACAGGCCATCTGCAGGTGTCTAGTTGCTGTAGAGACATACACTTCCCCCCAATGGGCACTGCTGGCCAAAAGACACTGATCCTGAGCACGAGGAGCACATATGCCCCAAGAGCAAAATACATATGGGCAAGCAGTCAAAGTAGAATTGTCTTCTGGCTTTTAGAAATTCTCAACTCCTCAGGTAAGATCCTGGCCCTATTAAAATCAATGAGAGTTTTGCCATTGACTTCAATAGAGCCAGGATTCCAGACTGGTTCTGCCAGGTTGCTATTATGATATCAATCTGGGAAGGGTTACAAGCTCTTTGGAGTACAGGATTAGAATTCAAAATTATCTTGACAAACTGGAGAAATGGTCTGAAATAAATAGGATGAAATTCAGTAAAGACATATGCAAAGTACTACACTTACGAAGGAATAAACCAATTACACAAATACAAAATGGGAAATGATTGCATAGAAAGGAGTACTGCAGAATGGGATTTGGGGATTAGAGGATCACAAACTAAATGAGAGTCAACAATGTACTACTGTTGCAAAAAAAAAAAAAAAAAAAAAAAAAAAAAAAAAAAAAAAAAAAAAAAGCAAACATCATTCTGGGATGTATTAGCAGGGGTTTTGTAAGCAAGACACAAGAAGTAATTCTTCCACTCTACTCAGCATTGATAAGGCCTTAACTAGAGTATTGTGTCCAGTTCTGGGCACCACACTTCAGGAAAGATGTGGACAAATTGGAGAAAGTCCAGAGAGCAAAAATGATTAAAGGTCTAGAAAACGTGACCTACGAGGAAAGATTGAAAAAATTACGTTTGTTTAGTTTGGAGAAGAGAAGACTGAGGGGGGACATGATAATAGTCTTCAATAGGGTGACCAGATAGCAAGTGTGAAAAATCGGGGTGGAGGGTAATAGGAGCCTATGTAAGAAAAAGCCCCAAATATCGGGACTGTCCTTATGAAATCGGGACATCTGGTCACCCTAGTCTTCAAGTACATAAAAAGTTGTTATAAACAGGAGGATGATAAATTGTTCTCCTTACCCACTATGGACAAGACAAGTAGTAAAGACCTTCAATTGCAAGGGAGATTTAGGATAGGCATTAGGACAAACTTCCTAACTGTAAAGGTAGTTAAGGACTGGAACAAGTTACCTAGAGAGGTTGTGGAATCTCCATCACTGGAGATTTTTAAGAACAGGTTAGACAAATGTCTGTCAGGGAATGATCTAGATAATACTTAGTCCTGCCTCAGCACCGGGACTAGCTGACCTATCGAGGTCCCTTCCAGACCTATAATTCTATGATTAGTGATTTGTTAGAAGGCAATTACTTACCAAGTTCTACTTCAATCGAATGGTTCTTTGGATAAATAAACTTTGGTGGTGTCTTCTTCGGGCCCTCTAATAAAAAAAATTAAAAAAAGATTAACAACCAGTGGCCATTACCCCTGCTACTACAACTGCTACACTACTTGTTTTACGGGTAGTTGACAATGATGTTACCAAGTACTCAATATTAATGCACATAAAGGTCATTTCAAACTTTCCAATATCTGTAATAATAAATTTTCTTTATTTGGTTAAAGGATTTCACTCTAGGATCAAACTAAGCATAAGTTTCACCTTATCTGTAAATATGCAAACAATTTCAGATTTATAGAAATAAATCTATAGGAAGCCTAATACCAAAAAAATTCTCATGATACTCATAAGGGCGGTGGGAAAAAGGGGGAGGGAGAGGATATTTCACTGACATCTTGGATGTTCACCACAAATCTTTTCATGTATGTTTTATCTAGTAGAAGAATGTCTGGACTGGAGCTTCGAGTGTATAGTAATCAGGAATTGTATTGTTTTGTATGCTTTATCAATCACGGTCAGTCTTCAGCAAGTAATAGCTGTCCTCTCACCACAGGTAAAATCCTATTCTATTTAGGCTCTTATAGAATACCAACCAATGTTCTGAAAGTATCTAAACAAGTAGATCACCAAATCAAAAATCTTGAAGATGTAAGTTTCATCTCAAGCAGCCTTTTTTTGGAAGAATGGTTCTTGTCAGGGCCGGCTCCAGGGTTTTGGCCGCCCCAAGCAGCCAAAACCAAAAAAAAAAAAAAAAAAAGCCGTGATCGCGATCTAAAAAAAGACGCGATCGCGATCTGCGGCGGCAATTCGGCGGGAGGTCCTTCACTCCCAGGCGGAGTGAGGGACCGTCCGCCGAATTGCCGCCGAATACCTGGAACTGCCGCCCCTGTCCGGAAGGGCCGCCCCAAGCACCTGCTTGAGAAGCTGGTGCCTGGAGCCGGCCCTGGTTCTTGTGGTGTCAAATGCTGACTGACACTACAACATTGCATACACATATGCAGCAGCCATGACACTAGCGGTGAATTCGAATCTCAGGATGGTCAGGCAGCAAGCCTGACTTCCCCTTAGATGCACACAAGCACGTCTGACAATACCAAAGCTAGTGCTGATACTAAGGAAGTTTCCCCATTTTAGTATTTTAGATTTGCTGGAAGCTCAAAGTTTGGAACTAACTTTTTATTGCAAAAGGACTAATGTAGCTGCTAGAGATTTTGTTGTAGTCAGCTATTTTATGCCTCGGCCACCTCTCCCTCTCCACCATTAGTGGTTCTAGCCGATTCCTAAGAGCAAGCTGATCACCCAAGCCATAAGGAGTAGTTTCCCAGCAGGTTTGCTTTCATGGTCTTCTCTCTCTCTCTCTCTCTCACACGCACATACACACACACACCACAGCCTGAGAGAGAGAGTGTGTGTGTGTGTGTTTGGTTTTAATGCATAAAACTCCTTTGTGGGCATTCCACTACACAAGTCCCTCCACAGTAACCATCAGTTTCCCAAAACCCATCAATTTTTTCTCTCTGACACCCAGACACTTAATTTCCTTTTCCCTTAGCAATTCTTCTTTCGGCGCCATGCTCTCCTTCTCAGCAACAGCTGGTGCTGCTGCTCACAGTGGCTGAGATTCCCTCCTTTTCTCAGACAGCCTCACAGAGGGAGAGGGGAGGAACTAAATTAGAGTGAGCAAGAGACTAGCAGGGTAAGATGATGTTCTCAAGTCAAATCTGCTCCTACCACCTATTGGGAACCTGTCAAATGCCAAATAGGTTAGCAGGAAGACTGGGAAGCTGCAAGATGGGGCCTGAATGCCAGAACACCTCTAGCCAAAAGCTAAATGTTGGGCAGATCTGCTTCCCAAGCAGCTATGTTTCTGAATGGCGCACTGAGCCCCCAATCCTGCAGGCAGGCACTAGAGCTGGTCAGACGTTTTTTGACAAAATGTTTATCAGTCAAAAGATGCTGATTTATCAAAACTGAAACGGTTTGTGAAACAGGGTCAGTTTAGAATTCCCTGACTTGAAAAACAAATTCAAAGTTGCCAAAATGTTTTGTTTATGCATTTTTTAAATGAAAACTTCCAGTTTTTTTAGTTCAAAACTACTTTGTTTCAATTTTTAAGCTAATTAAACTAAAAAGGTTGAAGTTGAAACAAATGTTTTGATTGACCCAAACAAAAGAAAAATCAGGGTTTTTTGGTTCACAAATATTGGAGATTTTCACTGTATCAAAAAATCAGGCAAAAAACTTATGAACCCCAAGAGTCTTTGCCAGCTGGGAGAACTGTTCCCTGCCCAGCTCTACTTGCCACATCCTTCTCTCTGCAAATTAAAAAAAAGTCCTAAACCCATCTTGCCTGTCCCTCCCCCATCTCTGCTGCTGTATTTCCCATCTATGTCCTTCTGAGTCAATGTTCTGTCCCTTTTCCTATTTATCTGCCCATATAAAGCAGAAAGTTTGGAAGCCATCACTAGAAAGCACTTGTGCTCCTAGTGCAAGACAGAGATAAGGTCTCAAATGTTTTAGGAGTTACACTGAGATTTCTACGTTATATTTTAAATGTATAATACTTCCTTTCACATGTCTCTGGAGGCCTGTAAATACACATATATACAAATGTGTCTCTTCTCAGAGATATACAAAGCCCAATATTCTGCCCTAAAGGGCAAACAAAACCCAGGCTCTGTTGGATCAGCGGAAGGAGCTAATCTTAGAGTCAATAATACTCCAATGGAAGTATCCCAGATTAAGCTAGGTGGTTTGGTTGAATGCTAAACTGACTTCAAATGCTGTGGCAAACCACAGGGATAGGCAGTAACCCAGATATCAAGTACCCAAAAGCCAATATCTTGAATTGCACCTAAAGCAAACAGGGAACAAGTGAACTGTTGAACTGGTAGAGTGTTCCTTTTGCCTACCACTACCAAAGCAGGCAGGAAAACATGTTTTGTGCCTGCCGTAATCTTCAAGGGGGTCTTGTGTAGTCCCAAACAAGCCACACTGTGGTAGTCTAGTCCATAAATCGAAGAGGCATTAGATTAGTGAACAGGGCCGGCTCCAGGCACCAGGCAACCAAGCTGGTGCTTGGGGCGGCACCTGGAGGGGGCCGGCGCAGCGCTCTGGCCGCCGGGGAGAGCGGGGCCACAGCCGGGCTCGCCGCCCTCCCCCCGGCGCTCTGGCCGCCCTCCCCCCAGCCGCCGGGGGGAGAGCCGAGCCCCAGCTGGGGCTCGCCGCCCTCTCGCCACCCTGCCCCCGGCGCTCTGGCCGCCCCCCCCCCGTGGGGGGGGGGCGGAGGCTTTTTTGCCTGGGGCAGCAAAAAAGCCAGAGCCGGCCCTGTTAGTGAAATAAGTACTGGCTTTGAAAGAGGAGAACAAAAATGATTAGCCAGATGCTGAGGAAAAAGGTGCTCTTGGCCACCAAATCCATTCAAGATTCTAGAAGTAGTTGCTGACCCAGCAACATTCCTAGCTCAGGAAATACAGGTTTTGTGCAACTTGAAACTGGAATTCCATTGTCTGATTATGGATTATTTCGGGTTTTGTGTCTTTTCGGGTGAGCAATTTGCAATAATTCAGGCTGTCACAGCTACAAAGACAAAATGCCCTAAATTATTTCCAGCTCTGCACATAGACACACTCTTGATTTTTCGTTGACTGATTTTGCAGAATTGTTGATTGATAATCTTGCCAAAGGCAATTTCCTCTTATTGTTTGCAGTCAGGACTCTCCTGTGCTCTCACTGGGGCAGTGAATCTGTTTTATACTCCCCTCTAAAGAGTCTGATGGACCCAAGTGAATTCTTGAAGTGTAAAAATACTATGCAGATAATGGCCTATTCTTGCCGAATATTGATCATCTTTTGTCCTCAACTACCTACACAGCGGTAAGAACAAGTGACACTTCCCTATACTACCATCATCACAGGTCACCTCTTCCACAGCTGTGTACTGAGACACTGAAACACATGCACGATTATGTGGCATTGGCCTTCAGTAAAATAAAATACTGCAGTACCAACAAAATTATTTTGGAAGCGTACTGGCAAGAGTAACAAGTCATACACTTTAAGCCCTGGATATAATTTGCTCGGTTATGCCAAATACATTGAGCGTTTGGTTTCTGGTAGTTTAAATTTCATCAATAGCTTAGCAGAAATTAGTGTCACATGGTCTTTCACCCTCTCCTCACAAAGAAACAGATCTCAAATCTAGGGTTTTTTCAACTGCGTGTGGTAAACCTTTTTCCACAAGGAGATTGCAAGCCTTAATTTGATCCAAAATACAAGTAGGGGAAAGAGTAATTGTTCCAACACAAAATTCTATTGTAGTTTATTTCTAACATTCTGGGGAAGAATAATTTAGAAAAGTTTCAATGCCTTTAAATTTTACAAACCAGCTGCACTTTTTGAAGGTGAAAGATTAGCAGTACTATGATATGCCAATAACTAGCTCTATTAACCCTAAACTTTAACACAGGAGAGCCAAAGACATTAAAAAAAAAAAAAAAAAAAAAAAAAGGAACATAATACCTTCAATGTCTACATAAATGGTTCGTGAAACATTATGTTGTATTCCTATATAAGTATATGTTGTCTGGCACGTGTAGTTTCCTTTGTCATCCATAGTTACATTATTAATCAAAAGATAGATATCATACTTTGATGACAGAAATCTGTTGTCCTGCAGTAATCCAGGCTTACATTCCTAAATAAAGCAAAAATAGCTGTTATTTGGGAGTACTAATAAAATATTGATTATTAAAGCATTTGCCAAAAAAAAAAAAGTTATTTCAACCATGTAAAAAATACAGCTTCCTGCCCAAGGTGTAGATACACCTCTACCTCAATATAACGCTGTCCTCGAGAGCCAAAAAAATCTTATCGGGTTATATCAAACTTGCTTTGATCCACCGGAGTGTGCAGCCCCCCCCGCCCCCCGCCCGGAGCACTGCTTTACCGTGTTATATCGGGTTGTGTTATATTGGGGTAGAGGTGTACTGCCAAATATTCTCTGAATATGGCAAGGTAGTTGTCAAGTTTAATATGAATGTACAGAGCTTTGGTACTGAAACACTGACAATACGTCATTTTATTTTAAGAGACACTATCAAGACCAAAAGTGAAATGTTTTGTTATAGGATTTGTTGGGTTTTTTTAAATAAATAAAATGGGAGTCATATTCCAAAAGTCATCTTGAATTGAAAAGTCAAAACATTTCATTGTGAAAAAGTCAAAAGGCAGCTTTTTTTTCCAGCTGACACAATTCAGTGAATTCAACACAAATTTGTGAAATGTTTCAGTTGACCCATGCGTTTTTCAAAAAAATGTTAGTCCAAAAATGTTTAGCCAGCTCTAGTTAGGACATCTATCCAGATATTTAACCTTTACAGCATATATTGGTGCTGTTTCTTAGCTGACTGGCATTGGCATTTAACTATCCTGCAGGAGCTAAGTGCTTTCTTCCTACACTAAGAGATCACAAGTAGAACTAATTTCTTCTTCATGGCAGTGAATAACGAGGCCCTTGAATTAATGGATTTTATTTTTTGTTTTTATTTTGGAAGAGATTATGTTTTCAAGCATCTAAACAGATTTTTCATTATGTTCTCTTCCAATTAAAAGACTGTTTTAGAAGTTTTCCAATGAAACTTCCAAGAACGGTTTCCCATGATACTCCAGGGAAATAGGTAAGAGGGAGAATTAGTCAAGGGGCACATTGCATGGCTGAACCATCATTTTGGTCTTGATATTAAACATACTGTGTATTCTTTAAGTGATGGATTACTTTAATTTCCCACAGAGTGCAGCACAAAGGCGTTTCTACAAGTATTAATTTAAACACCAATTTTTAAAGCAGAGTAGGTATCCCCCCCCACCTAATCACAGTGCATGCAGAAAGATGCAATTTCTCCATTAACTAGACCCCCAAAAACCACTTAAAACTTTGAAGATCAACAATCTGAATTGTATCTAAAAGCGAATAGAAAGTTAGTGCAGTGTATGAAGCCCCAATATAGCATGCTCCTTAACGCCAACCCCACTAAATAAGTGGACTACCGCATTGTGACAGCTGTAGCTTTTAGTTGATTTTCAAGAGTAAATCTCTTGTACAGTGCGTTATTGGTGACAAATGCATAGATCACCGGTGACTTATATCAGAATTGTATGTCACCGCAATCATTGTGCTAATATGCATATGAAAAAAAGTTTGGCCACTAATGTCTAAAACGACAAAAGCACTCCTAAAACTGTATGCCCACCTATCATCAATGAGGCTGAATCCCTACTCCCCCTCCCTCCATCATTTATACAGGAAGATGCCACTTCTCTAGATGCTTTCCCCAGGAAATCATCATCACCTCCATCTTTCCTAGATTGAGTTTCAGCCAGTTTGCTCTCATCCTAGGCCCCATCAGACACACAAGCATTCGCTCCCCCAGCCAGAGGACCACCTATAACAGGGCTTCTGGGTTTTGATCTTTACACAGAAGGCCAGCTGTTCCCCTAGATAATTCAGCTTGCTTTGGGACCAGAATCTACACCTTTTCAGGTCCGTGTGGCCTAAAATGTCAGATACTTTCCTGTTACTGGAGCAGAAGATTTAACAGCTTTGATGAGCTTTATTTTCTTTGAAGCTGAAGCTGCACTAGCAATGTAAAGTGCCAGATTATTTATTTAATCTTTAGTAGACAAAGCATGTCCAACAGGTTTTTAAGAATTGTAAGCTACAAGAGAAAAGTGATCCAATTGCATGATTAAAAGTGTAATGTGTTCATCTACTTCATATTTTTAACCAATTACACATCAAAGTAACATAGCAAAATCACACTCACGTTTTTGATGCTGAAATATTATGGACTATCTTACAATTTAAGTATAGATCAGAATCTTTTAGAATATGCTTTGGAAAAATAGAGGGGTTGTTTTATTTAAAATGTAAATGTAAGCACATTCTTATTATGTTTCCTATAATATTCCAATAGATTTGGAAAGTTAGGTAGCTATTCACATTACACAGAAAAAAAATCTTGTCTTTTTTCCCCTCTCATTACCATGCACAGTTAGCTTACTAGAAGCATTAAATTATATGATAGGGAATGTTACAGTAAAAATACATATACACAGTACCTTATACCACTGTATTTCAGGTGCAGTATTATTTTCATCATAAAAATATTCCAGATCAGGACATGTAATCTTTCCACCAATTGACATAAACACTTTTTGTTTATACATAGTTTCTCCATTAAAACATAAGCCATCATTGTTCTTGAAAACATTTAGATGTATATATTCTTTGTCAGAGCTGTTAGAATTCCTGTAATGAGAACAGCAACAAATCGGACCATTACTAGTACTTCCCATGTCCACAATAATGCAAGTCAGGCTCTGGATCCCTGACTGGTACAGAATGAATTTTAGGCTTTATTTCCGATATGTAAAATCCTAATGTAGGCAGAGCCCTATGAACAAAACTGAGCTTCTGTCACCCTATGAAGTAAGGAGAAGTGGGATTTTTAAATCCCAAAGGAAGCTGAGAAGAATTGCTTTACTTTCTTCTTTGCTTCTACAGTCCTGGCTCTCTCGTTTAGGATGAAAGATATTCCAATCATCATCGTCATCTATCTGGCCTCTTAAAAAAACTGAAAAGCCTAAAGAGTATTTGGCAAAGCAGTCTGCATAACATGGTGCCTTGATTTTCAGTAAGTTGTATTTCTTTTACTCTTAAACCCATACTTTAAAATAGTGTTTAGCGAGACATGTAAAGCTACCATAGATAAGTATTATTTTTAAAACGGGACTGTGACTGGGCTAAATTCACCTCACCCCCACATTTCTCAGTCTCCTGATTAACTGAATCAAACCAAGAAAGTAAAACTGTTTTACTGTCTGTCAGAAACAGACTATAAAATTAAATATGAAGTGACTCATTAACTCCAATAGAGTTAAAAAGCATACTTACAAATTTACACTTCCAAAAAATTTCAATTAGTTAATTGTTCTAAAGCACCTCGATGAAAAACCATTATACAAGTATAAAGTATAATTTTAAGCCAAGTTCTACTAGCATGGAAGAAACTCAGATATATTAGTATAGTATCAAAAACAGAGCTGAAAAGCTGTCTAGCTGTTTCCATACAAATATGTAAAAGAAAAGTCTTTACACACTAGATCAGGGGTCGGCAACGTTCGGCAAGCGGCTCGCCAGGGTAAGCACCCTGGTGGGCCGGGCCAGTTTTATTTACCTGCTGACGCGGCAGGTTCGGCC